TTTGAAATCGTTTAGAGTATATCAAAAGTTTTATTTATTAAAATAAATAATAAAATATCTTAAATGAAAAAAAAATTTGTTATGAAAAAGATTTATAATAACAGTTTTTATATTAAATTATTTAAAGAAGTTATAATAATAATTCTTATCTGGTAATAATTATTTGGTTTTTTTATTATTAAATTATTGTAACATCACACAATTATAAAAAATACTATCGAATAAAATCTCATTTAACTAATTATATTGAATAATTGTTTATTAGACCCAATATCAGCTATCTACTTTTATCACCTTATTCCTTTTCAGTTGTGTATTTTTCATAACTTTATTCACTTTCATAGAATTAAATAAAAATATAAATATATTTTTCTTATGAAAATAAAATAGTAAAAAGAATACTCTGAAGTTTATTGTCATAATCACTAAAGGGTCATTAATTACACAATTAAGTCATTAAAGAAAATTATAAGTTCAATTATAGTGTGAAAGATAATTAAAGTTGTACTTAAATATTATTTTAAAGAGTATCTCATAAAATTTAAAAAAAATAATAGAACTATGAAATAAATTAGTTGATATTACAGTTATTTAATTGTCTTATTTATTTTCAGAATAAAAAGATTATTCAATAAATTGTATAATTATTTGAACAAACAGTAATATTAACTTTCTAATATAAACCTTATTTTATAATTAGTTGTTGTTTTTATCAATAATTTTACAAAAAAACTAATATAAATTATACATCATTATATTTCTTCAATTGGTCTAGTAAAACAAAAGTGATAATAAAACAAATGCTCAACCAAAAATAATTTAAAACCCCCAAAAAAACACTTTCATTATTTAATTGAAGCTCTAAAATATTTATCTATTGTTCTTCAAAAGAGTTAGAAAAAGTAATTATTTGAAATTAGTAAGTTTGTTATGTTACAATAATTTAGAGTAGTTAACATAATGAAAGAAGTTATATAAATAATAAAATTATTTAATTTGTTGTTCCTCTTCCATTCCGTTTTCATAATTTACTTTCATTTCACCATTAATTTTGTTTTTCAAATTAATCAAAGCATCTTCGTTGAGATGACGAACTTTAAGTTCTTCTTTTCTCAACGAAATACCATCTGTATGTCTTTTTTGATAAATTGGAGTATTTTTATATGTTCTTGCATCAGGTAAAGGAGGTAAAAACCCAGGAATATATGGCTTTTCTTCATTATATTGTTTTTCAATTGGAACTTCATCCGTTGCTTTGATAACAGGAAATTCAGGAATTCCGTCAATGAATAATTTGTCTTCTTTTGTAACATAATCACCAAAGCTGAAGATATCAATTCCAAGTTGTTCCATTGCAAATAATAAATCAATAAAACTCGACTCAGTTCTTCCATTGTGCTCACTTATTTGATGTGTTTTTTTACCTATTTCTTGGATATACATTTCCATAACATCAGCAATTGTTTCAAGTGCTGACTCTTTAGCATCAGTATACCCAGCACTCATTGCAATTTGTGCGGCTGCAATTTTTAATATTTTACGTGGAAAACTATCTTCGACTTGCTGGGACATAATAATAATAGGAGATTGATAAGATTTTTTCTCTTTTCAATCCCATAAATTTATAAATCTTATAACATATTTTGTTTTTCATAATTAAATTTTTTAGTTTTTCTTTTTTTTTTATTTTTGAATGAAAAGTTAAATTTATCTAAAAAACAAAAAGTTAGTATAAAATAAATTAATGGAAAACAATCTTGCACCACTTTGTCGAAGGAAAATTAAGAAACGCCCACCAACAACTCAAAAAATTAATACCTCTTTATTACCTCCTAAATATGATTTACTTTCATTTATTCAAATTTCAGAAATTCCTTCAAAGTGTCAACAACAAACTCTTCACTTATTTTGTGTTTCTGGAGAAATCATATCATACATTCATCACACAAACAAACCTGCTTTTGTCACTATTGGAAATGGAACATATAGTCTTGTTTTAAAGTTTTTACCAAATCTATTTAATCCAGATGTTCCAAGTTTGTATTGCAGAGCTCTAAAAGAAGATGTATGTGTTCCCCATAATAAAATAATTGTTGTTAACCCTGCTGTTTGTTCTTGTGTGATTTCAAAAGAGAATCCACACCAAATAATATTAGAATTATTTGACTTTTCTAACCCATTAATTTCGCTAACTCAAATATGGATATATCATGACTCTTTAAAGTACATTTTTTTTCCAGGAGGTTCAGGTAATTGTTATAGTAGTATGAGTCCTATAGATCGTTCTTTTTGTTCAAATATTAATTATTTATCAGGAAAAGGAGAAATTAATGAAATTAGTGATTCAATTGTTCATAAATGGAGAGTTCAAGGTTATTTCTATGATTTTGTTGGATATGTTTTATTTCCTGTTAAACAAATAAATGGAAAGAAATATGTTTCTTTCTTTATAGGTTATAATGAAACAGTTATTAATCGTTATATGTCAGATAAACATGAATACCTTCAAGGATTAGATCAAATGATTGGAATTGGTGATTTATATTATCTCGAATATAAAGAAGAAATAAGGGTTAATGAAAATACTTGGGTTAAAGTAATAAATGGAGAGTTTCTTTTCAACTCTACTTCAGAAATTGGTATAGATTTACCAAATGGATATATGGAAACTCTAGTCGTAAATGATCCTCAAGTTTCTCGTAAGAAAGTTGAAATTATTAAAAATGCTCTTTCTGTTAATCCTCAATTTGGTTCTGAGTTAATCACAAGAATGTCTAATGAACCAGAATTAATTTATGGAATAAAATCACAGTGTAGTGATTCAGATGGAGAGGATATTATTAAAAAAACATTAGATAAAATACTTTTACAACCTAAAGATGATCTCTTAATAACAATTGATGAAAATGAATTAAATAAATCTATCTTAAATAAAAAAGATGTTGATAATGAGTCATTCATTCCATCATTAAATACGTCTCATGTTAATGACACAGAACAAGATCATTGTTTAGTTAATAAACAAAATTTCAATCAGTTAACAGATAATATTGTTGGTTTGCCTTCTAAAAACGAAAATGCATTAATGGAGACAAATAAAGCTAGTATTGATTTAGAAAGAGATGAAGAAGAAAATAAAGATGATAATTGCCATTCTTCACAAATACACCAATCTGATATAGACTCAATAATTAATGAATTAGACCAACAAATATCCAACGAAGATAGAACTAAAGAAAATAAAGAAGAAAATGTCTTATTTAAATTTGATCAAAATACACAAACAACTCAATCAAGAAATACTGAAACATCAACAACAATTTCTCCATTACTTATTCAAGAACTATTAGATATAAAAGAATATAATTCTCAAGACAATGTATTAAAAGAACAAGAAGTTGTTAAAGATAAAACAAAAAAGAAAAAAAGTAGTGAAATTAAGATGAAGTTGTTATTTCCACCAAAACTAGACAACGATGAATGGAAAGAAAAACCAATTGAAACCAAAAGGAAGTGGTTGTACGATAAAATGAATAATAACAATGACTTTATTAGTAGTCAAGAGGTGTTCTGTTCTTCTACTCCTGTTGTTCCCATTAATAACAATTCTATTAAAATAGAATCACAAAACCTCTCACAGATTAAAGAAATTAAAAAACAACAAGATGAATCAGAAAAAGAGATTAAATTAGAAGAATTACTGTTACCAACTCAATCTGAAGAGGTATTTAACGAAAATGAACAAAGAAAAAGAAAAAAAGAAACGAGTGAACTATCTCCAAAACGAAGTTTAGAAGAAATGACCCAAAACGAGGACTTAATTAATCAGTTAAACTATATTAATCCAAAAGAATGTTGTTGGAAATCAGTTCAATTTTCTAAATATAAACTAGAATGTGAAAAAGAAAATGATCTTTTTATTCAACAAGGTCATTTCAGTTTATATTTACAAGAATTAAATTCTAAATCTACAACAATTTATCAACTTTCTCATCAATTAAATGTTTGTTGTTTAATATCTATTATTATAAATTGTACTGTTTTTATTAACTAACAGAAAAAATTGATTAGTCTATTTAAAATTATGAACGAAGATCAATTAAATCAATTTATTGAACAATATCTTATGAATTCAACTTTTATAGTGAATACATTTATAATCAATAATCCTCTAACCAAACAACAGAATAATATTATTGTTCAGCTCTCATTAATTATTTGAATATAAAGAAATAAATGAATTACATTTTTTGAGTTTTAAGAATGAAATAAAATTAATTTATAAAACTAGTTGATATTTAAATGCTTATTTTATTATAAGAGGAAAATGTCTTTTGTTAATTACTTTTTCTCTATATAATTTAAATGTCATAGAATAACATTAAAACAAATTTTTTTTTAAAGAAATAAAAAATAAATTAATTAGATTAATAAAATACTTATAACGAAAAATTTTTAAATAATTACTCTACATAATACTCGGTATTATGATTAGTTATTATACAAAAAAGTACCAGCATATAGTTTTTTGATAGTTTAGCTAAAAAAGTAGGTATTTATTTTTATATTTTTAATTATCAATTAATGGAATAATTTATTTTTCTATTCTTTATTTTTGTATACTGTTCTTTGGAAATTATATTGTATTTAGTTGTTGTTTTCATATTTTAAATTTAATAATACTTCATTTAGAACCATAAATTTTTTTCTTTTAGTTATTCTTTTTAATACACAACAAAATTCATGTAACTGTTCATACTCTTATTTTTTGATGTTGATTTCTTTTTCAAGAGAGTGTTTAATCTTTTGTTGTACTATTTATTCTTCTTCTGTTTTGTTCATTATTGTTTTTTTTTTCATTTGCATTAATATAGTATCTTTTCTCTATTATTATACATTCTTGAATTGTTAATGATTCTTCAATTTCTGGAAGTGAAAGATTTTAACTTTTTCAAATAATTTATTTTTATATTTCTATTATTTTCTTTCATTTTTTATTTGTCTTATTCTTCATTATTTATTTTCATAATCTTTATTCTCATTTATGTTTTATTATGAATTAATACTAAACAGTTATGAAGAAGAAATTGTTTCACACTATTATTACAATTATTGTATGTGTATTAATATAAATAAATTTAAACTTATTTCTTAAATTTGTCATTGATTTTTCTTTCTTTTTGTTAATATTTTATTATATGTTTTGAGATTTCTCTTGAACACATTTGTTATTTTTTGAGGGGTTTTAAAAAAAGAAACGAAAAAGGATAAAGGTAGCATGGTTAAAAGTAGGGAGTTAAGAGTATGTATCAGCTTGAACCTTTTCATGAGGACAAATTGTGCTAAACATGCCAGCGTCAATGCATTTATTTATAATTTCAGTTATAGTTTTTGCAACAATTTCAGTGCCATTGATAATGTTTTTAGTAGAATATCTGTTAGAAACATTTTTAGTAGTTATTCTAGTAACTCGATTATGTTTAATTTCATTTTTAAGAATATATGAGATGACAAAAGGATGTTCAACAGTTTTAGAAGAGAGCCTAACCAAAAAACATCCATTTTGTCTTTTGTCAAGCCAAGAAGCAGCAATTTCACGGGTAATATCAAAGGCGTACCAACTAGCATTTGTTAAATCAACTAATTCATTAAAGATAGATGTATGTTTAAAGTACTTTCCATAAAAATCAATAGACTTTTGAAATGTAGTTGGTGTTATTATTTTTTCATCAAATAATTGATAAAGACAACTATCATTACTAATTTTCACATTTAGCTCTTTTCCAAGTTCTTTAAAGAAGAGTTGTTTTTCAACTTCTAGTCTTAATCCTCCTGTTTTATTGTTATAAAAATGTTTTTTCCAAAATTTTAGTCCATCATCATCTATTAATGCACTTTCTAAAGAAACGTGATGAAGTGTTTCAAGTACTTCTTTTATGTTAGGCCTTTTTGTATAATCTCCATCCCACATACTATTTATACAATTTACTAATAATTTTGGAACAGAATCATCAATTTCTGGTCTTTTTGTACCACAGATGACATCCTCTGAATATTCATCAAAATCATCATATTCTGGGAATAATTGTTTTTGTGTAAATGTCTGCCACATAATTAATCCAAGTGCATAGACATCACATGAAAATGTTACTTTATTTTCAAGTACAACTTCTTTTGCTAAATAATAAGGTGTTCCTTTCCATCCTTCTTCTTGTTTAACATCGGCTGGAAATACAGTAAATCCAAAGTCAGTTACTTTGATATTCATATAATTATCTACCATGAAATTTTCTGGTTTTAAGTCTCTATGAACCATTCCTACTACATTATGTAACCAATTAACTGACAATGCCATTTCTGTACATAACTTTAATTTTATTTCAGGTGTTAGTTCTATCTTTAAACTTTCAGGTAATTTACTTGGACAATAGAGTAATGTTTCTAAATCACATGCCATTAATTCACTAACAATCATAATCTTCTTCTCAGTTGATGCTCCTAAGAATAATACTATATTTGGATGAAACACTTTTTTCATCACTCTAACTTCTCTCATAAAATTCTCTTTTTCATCTTCGCTTAGTACTTGCTTGTTAGGTACTTTTATTGCAACCGGTAACCCAGCCACTATACCTCTATATACTTTTCCAAATGAACCACACCCTAATAAATCTTTCTTTTCATCATAAAGTATATCTTCTGGGTTTAGAGTTGGTGGTCCTTCTATTAACTTTTCCATTCGTTCTCTTCCTTTAATTGTTATATTCATAACTTTTGTTATCTTAAATTTTCAGTTCTTTCTAATTTCGAAAAAGAATTTATTGTTTTTAATGCTTTTTTTAATCAATTCGTAGTTATTGAACATTGTGAAATAAAAAAAACTATTTTATAACAGACACCAAAAAATTAAAGAGGCAAAAATAATATTTTATAATATTTTATTATTTATAGCATTCTCTATAAACTTTTCTTTTATGAAAAAAAGTTCATATCCATTTTTCAAACAAGGAACTAAACTGACGATACTAATATAATTTTAAAAATTTTTTGTTTTCAGTTTTTTTTTTCATTTTAATTTTAGATCCTTTTATCAATGCAGAATATACAACAAATTTTGTTGCCATGGCTATTGAGTAATACCATAGGGTCTTGTAAAGAAAATCAAACAAGACACAGGTATTCAAGTTCAAAGAAAAGAAAGGACTTCAATAGCAATAAAATGCATAATAATTATGATAAAAGAAATAACAAGAAAATAGTGAATAGAAAAAGAAGAACACAAAGAAAAACAAATAAAAAACAAAGTAAATATAATGATAATAAACATTATACAAATAAGAAACCTAAATGGTTAACAACAAAAGAAATTCAAAAGAAAATTAAAAGAATAACAAGAAAATGGGAAAAAGGAGAATACGAAGAATTACTTAAAAAGTACGAAGGTAAAGAAAAGAAATGGTATAATATTCTCCAAGAAGTATATTCAATAAGAAAGAAGAAAACACTAGAGAAAAACAAAGAAGAATTCAAAGATAAAACAAAAGAATGGAAAAGTGAAGATATTAAAACAATTGAAGAAGAAATCAAAAACAAAAATCCAATCAAAGAAATGAACGATAGATGTAAAGCTGCAAGAATAATAAATGAAAAAGAAAATAAAGGGAAAACACAAGATAAAGAAGAGAGGATGGAAGAAGAAGGCAACAAAGAAGAAATCAACACACTTCAAAATAAAATTAACGAATTAGAAGAAACTATCAAAGAACTCCAAACAAAAAAGATGGAAGAAGAACGAACCATTTCAGATGAAATGATTCAAAAAGCACGAGAAACAGTCAGGAAAGAGTTTGAAGAAGAAATAGAAAAGATGAAAACACAAATGAACAATATTCAGAATACATGTAATGAAATAAGAAAAGAAAACTCTAAATTAAAAGAGGAAAATAATACATTACAAGGAAAAATAAAAGAAGCAAATGGTAGAAGGATCATAGAATTAGGAGGTAAGGATGAAATCATCCGAACCCTCCGAGCTAGCTATGAGAAGCTGAAGAAGGAGAAGGACGAAGTCCTTAAGGGTGCTGAGCTGGAGAAGAAGAAGGCTGATGCGCTGGAGAAGAAGAAGGCTGATGCGCTGGAGAAGAAGAGGGCTGATGAGCTGGAGAAGAGTGCTGAGCTGCTAGAGAAGAACATAAGAGATAAAGAAAATCAAATCTCTGTATATCAAAAAAGTGCGATTCAAAACTATGAGATTGCAGAAATAACAAGAAAAGAACTAGACCATACACAAAGAGAAAATGAAGAACAAAAACAATTAATATCAAACCAACAAGGAAGTATCGAAAATTTTTTATCCCAGAAGGAACTGAAGAAGAAGAAAACAATGACCCTAGTGATAAACACACAACCAATACTGAGAACATCATCATCTGGGACAATACAAATGAACCAAACTACCCCTATGAAAAAGACAATTCTGGAAATAGAAGAAGAAGGGAGCAAAACACTGAGTGTCAAAAAACAAGAAATGATAATCAGTCAAGAAGAGAAGAAAACACAACAAATCAAACAAATAGAATTTTAATTGATGTGTTGTATTGTTTTGCAATTAATTGGTTAAATAATAAATTAAATAAGAAATTAAGATGGGAACAAATAGAAAGCATAATAAAAGTAATAAATAATAATGTAAATAATGATAAAGAATACATTAATAATATTAAATTATCATATAAAATAAAATAAACAACTAAAAGATATATTAAAATGAAAGTGAACTCCATCATAGAAAGGAAAGTAGAGTGTAATCCAATAATAAAAAACATTATCATAAAAAATAACTCTATTGATATTGATGATGAATATCTTAACTCTATCATCATTCAACTTAAAGAAATGAAAATAGATAAATGTGTAAATATTAATTATTACTGGAAAATGAAAGAATCAGATAAATTAATTAGAGAAATTAATAATAAATGGGTATGGTCAGGAGAATAGAAAATCTACAAGAAGATATGAAAAGGATTTCAATGTGTATGCATTACTATCTCCAAAATAAATTTATAGGAGATAAATTTGATGAAGTAAAAGAAATCCTAAGGAAAATAAATAGACTAGAAGATCTAGTCAAGGGAAGGAAATGGTACAGAATAAAATGCATCATGAGATTAAAGAAACAAGATGCAGATGAAATTAAAATGAAAGCACAAGAAAGAATAAAGTACCTAAAATATATGATGACGATGATTAAAGAAAGAATTAAATTTAATAAGAATGAAAATGTCAGAATCAATACAAATAAAATCATGTTTGATTCTAATAACAAAATCAAAATAAAGAAGAAAGACCCACAAAATGAAATATATCCAAATAACGATATTACTTTAGAATATTGGAAATCGTTATATGAAACACAGGTGATATTAAATAAGGAACATTGGAAAATAAAACAAATCACCTCGTGGAATGAAAGGTACAGAAATTATGATAGTGTCATCATCACAATGGATGATTTAAATCTAAGCCTGATGAAAATAAGTAATTGGAAAGCACCAGGTATTGACACTATATATGGGTATTATTGGAAGAGAATGTCATCATCAAGAGAGTCCATTCTTAATATCTTCAATGATTGGTTAAACTTCCCAGAAAACATCCCTTTAGACATGGTAAGTGGAAGAACTATACTAATCCACAAAGGAGGTGATAGGAACGATGTCACTAATTATCGTCTTATCAGTTGTACAAATGTAATAATGAAAGTATTTACCTCCATATTGAAAGAGAAGATTCACAATAGAATTAACATGAATAATGAATCATTAAAAATTAGTAAAAATCAATTGGGATGTAAACTGCAATCTCTTGCTGCTAAAGAAGGATTAATTAACAGTTATATGTTAAAGCAGCAGAAAGAAGAAAAATACCCAAAATATGTAGAGTCATATTATGACATTAAGAAAGCATATGACTCAGTAAATCATGAATGGGTAATAGAAGCACTTAAATATTTTAATGTAGAGGGTGTCATCATAGACATTGTAGAAAGTATGATGAACAGATGGAAGATATTCATATGATATAAATATAATGAATATCTAGGATGTATTAAATTGAAGAGAGGAATTTTACAAGGTGATTCCTTATCCCCTCTACTCTTCATCATCCAAATGAATATAATTTCTCAAATCATAGAAGAGAAGTTCCCAAAAGCAAACCATACATTGTATATGGATGATTTGAGAATAATGACACAAAGTAGCGAAGAAATGGGAACAATCCACAATGAAATTAAAGAAATAATAAGTGGAATAGGGATGGAAATGAATGAAAATAAATCAGGAATGGTATTAAAGAACATTAATAAAATACCAGATGGAATGCAAAACATCCCAATAATTGAAGGAGAGGACTTGTATAAATATTTAGGTGTATGGCAGTCCGATGAAATTAATGATACCTTCAATTGTAAAATCATCAAAGAAAAGATGATGAAGAAAATGGAAGAAATAAATACTGATGAAAGTAGTAATAGAAGTTATATTACAAGAATTAATACTGAAGTAATACCCATCTTCAGATATTCAGCATCAGTAGTAAAGTGGAAGGTAACTGACCTAGATAGAATGGATTTGGAGATAAGAAAATATTTAAGAAAGGCAAAATACATTGGTGCCGGTAACTCCAAAGACCGTCTATATGTCCCTATAAATGAAATGGGTGAAGGATTAATAAGCCTAAGGGACGAATATGTTATTGAATTAATTAGAACAGTAATGTACTATTGTACAAGAGAAAGTGAAATAGGAAATAACATAATAGATAGATGGTATTCCAAGAAAGGAATATGGAATAGAATTAAAAAAGCCCTAAGTCATAAAATCCCAGAAACGAAAATAGAAGAAATAATAAATGAATTTATTGAAAATAAAAAAGAAAAAGAGGTAGTAGTAAAAATAAAGAAATTAATAACCAACAAATACATCAAAAAATAGAAATCAAACAAGTGGACATTTTAGAAGATGGTTCGAGTCAAAAGGGGTAGATAAAACTACTACAATCAATGCATGGAAGTCCATCAATATAAAGAAAAATGCATTTCTCCAATTAACTAAAATGCAAGATGGAGCAATATTTAGTGGGTACAGGAAAGCGAAAATATTAAAAAATGAAAGATTAAAGTACTGCCCACTTTGTAAAGACAAGATAGCCACAGTAGAACACATTCTACTATCTTGCATTGGTCATAAGAAATCACAAATGGAGAAACATGACCATATTGGCATTATCATATGGGAGGGGTTAATAAGAAAATACACAGGAAATAATCAATACAAGAAACCCCCATATGAAACAGTGTTCCAATACAATGACATCACTATGATATGGAACAAACAAATAATGCCAAAAAGTGATGGGCTATATCATAAAAGACCAGATATATATGTACTAGATAAGAAGAATAAAACTGGTCTAATATTTGATATGACTATTGTGGCAGATCATAATATTAATGGAGCCTATTGGAAGAAAAGAAATATGTACAAGGAATTGAAAAATAGGCTAATGAAGATAGAGAAATTAAAGGATGTCAAAATAATTCCAGTAGTAATTTCGATTAATGGGCTAGTAAATGCCGAAAGTATTAAATTAATCAAACAATTAAAAATCGAAATTGACATCACTAAAGAAATTAAAAGCCTTGTAATTAAAAACATGATGGACGTCATGGAGCACTGTGGAGATCACAACCAAACATATGTAGTTGAACTACAAGACGAAGACGAAGGGACGGGATTAGTCTCCGCTGAGGCAGGAACAATAGACACAAGTTCTATTAATACTTAATTAACTTCTTATTATTTTTTTTTTTTGAAAGTATACATAACAATTTTTTAATTTATTTCCGTTTTTTATAACAAATAATTATTATTACTTAAAAACAAAAATTAACAAAAATAAATCTTAAAAGTAAGTAAAAAGGTTATGTTATCACGCTCGTCATCACACTTTTCATCACAAAGTTGGAGAAAATCAACAGACCAATTACCTTCTTCATCTATTTCTCCACCAGTAGAAATAGATATTCCAGGAGAAGTTCATTTTGAAGATGTATTCGAAAAACTTATGGAATCATTTGCTAAACAATACTGTATGCCTTATTTGTCTGTTGATAAAATTACCAATTCAAAAGAAGTTAATTCATCAGTAGAAATAAAAAAATTACTCAGTAACAAAATAGGATTACAGTCTGTTGTTACTTGTTTAGAACATGAATTTACTTTAGTTATTCCACATAGAACTTTGACACTAACTCCAGAATTTCTTTTAACTCATATGATAAAAAAACACCCAAATGATAATAACTTTGTTACGTTAAATGGACTGTATGGAAAAATTACTGATGGTAATATTGCTTTATATGCGAATCAAAAACCATTAAATCCATGGAAGACAATGCCAGATATTTTTTATGCTTTCCCAAAACATTTTTATGATAATTTAGAAAGTGATGAAATCTTATTACGAAGATCAAAAGAAATTTCAATAATTGCAAATGATTCATTACAATCTCCTTTTGGAGAAATGCCAATTCTTTTTATAGAAACACCTTTAATTTTTGATGGTTGTTCTTGGGGATGGGTAGGTGATGGTCTCCAACCTGGATTTTTATGGATGGAATGTCCTAGTATAAAACCAAGGACACTCGATAGTATTTCTAAAAATGAAATAGAGACTGATAGTATTGAACCAAAATGGTTTATTCCTCCATCAGAACCAGAAGAACATAGTGGAAACTTATTTTTAGAACGACTTTCTAATCAAAAATCATCGGTAATCAGAAATTCATTTGAAACAGCATTTAAACAATTTTCAAATATATCTTCTACACTAAGACTAAATGAAAAGGCAGTATTTCTTAAACAATTAATCAATGGAGCAAGAGGTAAAATACAAAAGCATGAACTGTGGAAAACTGATTTTAAAATTTATGAACAAAATATAGTTAACTGTATTGAAACAATTTTTACATGTTCATTATTTGAATCTCTTTGGCCTCCAAGCTATGAAGATAATCCAAAAGAAGAGACTCCTATTGAGTGTCGTGAAAAAGATAAAAAATTAGAAGACTTTATTTTAATGAGACAATTTATTCAAGTAGAAAATATTGGGCTAGGATTTTTGAAAAAAGATGAACAAAGTATATTAAAAGAATGTGGGGCATTAATTAGAAATGTTAATATGAAACGGTCACCAATAGAGAAAGCAAAAATACTAAGAGACGTATATTGTGTTATTGAAAATATTGTGAGGCAATTAATAAAATTGAATGATAATGAAATTGTAACAAAAACACTTGCTTATATTTTACTAAAAGAAAACATTCAATTTATCCCGACAAACATTTGTTTTATAAAATTATTTCATATGAACTCTACAGATTGGATTATTGATATTGTAGAAAAATATGATCGTGCAGTTTTATTTTTACTAACACTAGGACAAGAAAAAGTTCTTCTTCCAAAAGAAGACTATAATCTATTATTTTCTAAAGCTAAAAGAAAAGCACAAAATCCTTTAAATCTATCTGATTACTATTCAGAAACTCCTATTCATTTCGATAAGAAGAAAATAATTTCTAAGTTAACAGAAATGAAACCTGAAGATTTGACTGATGAAGATTTAGATATTTTATTAAAAGAATTTAAAATAGCAATGAAAGAAAATAGAGAATTGCATAGTAAGTTAGATGATTTAAAAAAGAAACAACAAAAAGAATTAAATTAATTTTTTTATTACTTCATTTTTAATATTAAAGAGGAAATATAAAACAAAGAAAATTCAATTACATGGTTGAATGATTAAGGATGAATGTTGAGATCTTTAAATTGTACTGGAATGTTATTAGTTTCATATGAAATAGTTGGTGCTTGTGTAATACTTGAATTTAATTGAATTGGTTGAATGGACTTAATAGGAGAAATACCAGGATTATCTGAAACAATTAAAGTAGTTTCAATTAATTGTTGAGGTGAAGTGGTATCAGATACTTGAGATTGTTCAATTTTCTTTTTACTACAAAACCTTCCACCTTCCCCTCTTTGTCTTTTCATAGCATGAAGATGTCTAGACTCATATTTAAACTATTTATTAACTTTAGTACTTTTGTTATTAATCATTAAATCTATGTGTTGGGTCTTAATACTCCTATTGGTGGAATATTCAAACTAATAGAAAAAGACAAACTTTCTGTTTGTTTGATGGAGAAGAAATACTCTTCTGAGACTCTAAGTTATGTCGTTCACTTCTTCTCTTTATTATTCGGTTAAATTGTTTGTCATTTACAAAAATATATTTCTTTAGTACATCACTTGCTGGCCAATGAATTGTATTTTTAGGAAAGCCAACGAAAGTTGGTTCTTTAGAATAACTTGAAATGTAACTCGATGGTAATAAGTTCCACTGAACCTTTCTTGATTGTTGTGGTTGAGTTATCTCCAACGAAGTATTATTGACAGATGCACACATAACAATCTCCAGTTTTTAGTTACGCTATTTATAACATTAAGGGTTTTGAATTTGATTGGTTGTTTTTTTCATTTTTGTAAATAGAGCAAAATAATGAAAAAAAACGGGAAGTAAATATTTTTGGATAAACAATATAAAAATAAAATTTAAAAAAAATAAATTATCTTAAGTAAAAAATCCCTGAATTAGAGTATAAATATTATCAGTAAAAAGATTTCATAAACATTTTAACTGCTTGAGATATACTTTGTAGTCCGAATAATGAAGGGTCAAGTGATTTGATATCAACCCACTTCAATTCAGAAATATCATCTTTTCCTTTAACCAAACTATTAGGGACAATACATTTAAAAAACATGTCCATAGTTGAAACCTTGAAACCACTGAATATATACTCATTTGGTAAACTAAAGAGATATTTTAACTGTTTTATTTCCAACTGAAGTCCTGTTTCTTCTTCAATTTCCCTTATTGCAGCAGTTTCTCCATTTTCTCCAAAATCAACAAATCCTCCTGGTAAATCTAAAGTATTTTTTGCTGGTTCAAATGATCGTTTTCCAACAAGTAATTCACCACGTTCATTAAGAATAAACACACCAACAGCAGCTGCTGGATTGTAGAAGTAATGAAATCCACATAATGAACATTTCTTGGATTTAAATGTTTCGATCAAAAATTTATTATTTCCACATTTGGGGCAATATTTAAAGGAATCTAATGGATGGTGTTCCATTTATTTGTTGTAAATATCAGTTATCTTTTTTTTTGTTTTTCTTCCATTTTGAAATAAAACAACAGAAAAGATTAAATCAGTATTATTTTATATTAATAATGTCTTTCTATTAAAATGTTTATAGAACCATTTGATAGAAAATATATGTTAAATATATTGATAATTGAATTTATCTATATTGACATAATTTGATAATATTATTAAAACATTTTTTTAAATAATATTATTTTTTATATATTTTCTTTTACTAATTAATTAAGATAATAGAATATAAAAACATTATTTACTCATTCATTCTATAGTATATAAAATAAAAAATATTGTTTTTTTATTGTGTACAACAACAAACAAAGAGATAGACTATCATAAAGTTCTCCAAATAATTAAAATTAATTTTAAAAAAAAGTACAAGAAAGAGTTGAAATTAAATTGAAATATTTGAAAGTATCTTTACAATTCACTTAAAAATCTAATAGAATCAATTGAAGTTAAATTTCTTCTTTTTATGAACTTAAATATCATAGTTTATCAATATGCAAAATACTCAAACAGGTAAAGAAGTATATTCATTTTTATCAGAAGAACTGTTTCAATTAGTAAGGCTAAACAAATCTACTTTTCATTGCATTAAAAAAAGTAATTCTTCAGAAACTCTTAAAGTAATAACCAAACAACCTAAACCATCTCAATCTCTACGTCTTACATACAAAAATTTAGAAGTTATTAATAAAATTGGAAGTTATCAACGAAATATGAGAATAATTGAATGGGTTAAATCCTCTGAACATAAAAAATATCACCTTCCATCTCAATTGTAACTTAAAATATGACGATTTATTATTATTGTTTATGTTAGAAGATTTTAATTAAAAAAACTATTTTCAATATTATTCTATTTAAAAGTTAAATTTATGAATAAAAATTGGTTGTACCTCATTTTATTACTTTGTTTAATATAATCTACAAATATATTTCTCAGTTTTGTTTATTCGTCAAAATATTTATAAAGAAAATAATTTAAAAAAAAAGAATTTTTTATTTTTATTTGGAAGAAAAGGATAACTAAAAAATAACTGTAAAAAAGTAGAATTTTGTTTCATTTCATAAATGAGTAGTTCCTTATCTTTTACCCTACAAGAAATAATGACTATATCTCAATACTTTAAGACGACAGAAGATTTTATTAGATTACAACTTGTCAAAAAATCATTTTCTTGTCTTACTGATTTATTTAAAGAAAACCCAATCTCTTCACCAATTTTTCGTTATATCACTACTCAAAACCTCTACTCTAGAGAGGACAAAATTATTCCTAATCTTTCTTGTTATATTATTCATTACAAAGTAAATTATAACGAATATCTTTTACTGAAGAAGGACAGGTTTTATTTTAAACATATTGAATATTCAAAAAGTGATCGTGAAAAGACAAAAGGTAAAATCCCACAAGAAATTACTTGTATTGGAGAAAAATGTTTTTATAACTGTGATAGACTATCTTCAATTAACATCCCTGACTCAGTTACGTCAATTGAATATTCTGGGTTTAAGAATTGTTTGAGACTTTCTTCTATTTATCTTCCTTCTCGTTTATTGAAATTAAAATCAAACTGTTTTGAAAATTGCCAATCTTTAAAGGTAATTTCATTCCCTTCAACTCTTACTTCAATTCCTGATGCTTGTTTATGGAAATGTTATTCATTAACTTCTATTCAATTCCCTTCAAATTTATCTTCTCTTGGAGTTAATTCATTGTCTCAATGTACCTCCCTTATTTCATTTTCTTTACCACCTCATTTAGAGGTTATTGGTGATGCTGCGTTTTGGGGTTGTTGTTCTATTAGACGGATTTTATTCCCTTCATCAGTTTCTTCAGTTGGTAAAGGAGCATTTTGGTCTTGCGCAAATCTATTCCAAGTGTCTGTTTCACTTCATTCGACTCCAATTAAGTATGGTGTTGGTTGTTTTAGAGGATGTAAAATACTTTCACAAGTTGAAGGAGCCAAACAAATAAATTGGTAATGAATTTGTGTTTTATATACTTATTTTTTGGCATTTCTTGGTATTTACAAAACCTAAAATTGATAAAAGAACAATAATATTATTATCATAAAAAATAGTTTTAGAAAAAAAAACTTAAAAAAAGAGTTCATTGGAAAGAAATGAGTCAAAGTGTTGAAGTGGGAAATATTAACCAAATCCTTGTCATTGGCAAAAATAGTTTTTTAAGTATTAACTCAACTACTGTAACACTATGGGATAGTAATACTGCTCAAAGTCTTAAAACTATTATGATTCCACCTGGAATTACTATCGTCCAAGCGGTAAGTGTTTCCCTAGAAAATGAATTTTCATTATATGTCTTAACATCAAGTAAAACAATCATTCAATTTACTAAACCTACATTTGATTACTCAAAAGCTAAAGTTTATCAAAGCAATTCTCCAATTACTAAAATAGCTGTTATTGATATTGACACATGTTTAATATCCAAACAAAATGAGATTGGTACTGTTAATTTTAATAAAGAAGTTGTTGAGTACACTGAGTTATTTAAATTAAAAGAAGAAGTTACAGCATTATTATACTCATCACCAAATATCTATTTAGCAACAAAACTTGAATTATTTGTTTATTCAATAGAAGGAAAAGAAATAAAACAGATGGACTTTAATAAAAATGAAATCAAACAAATTATATCAGGACTAAAGAAAATTTTTGTGATTTGTGAT